GGACCCTCTGACATTCAGCGAGGCTCGTTTCCGTCCCTCTCTGGAAGAGCGCTTGGAGAGCATCATAAGTGGTGCCGCGCTAATGGCTGACTCCTCATGCACACGTGACGACCGCCGTGAACGCATTGTGGCTGAGTGCAACGCTGTTCGACAGGCCCTGCAAGACCTGTTGAGCGAGTACATGAACAATGTAAGTGACCTCTCTGATAATTTGATACTCACTAGCTAACTGCAACTGCAACACTTGCTCATTCGCGCACCTCGGAACACACATACATCATTGAAAGCAGACACACATGCTGCTGATCTCCTTTGTCTTCTCTACTACATTTTTGGTGAAATGCAGAACCAAACACCTCGCTCATGATACTTTCACCTGCCATCAAGTGTTACACCTAAAGCAAAAACCTTCTGTTTAGGCTAGCTCAGCAACTCTGAGCCTTACTCAATCCAAGTTATGTCCTTTGTTTGACATATGTGGCATTATTTGGTATTTGTGTTCTTAGAGTAGTGCGACAGGTGCAAAGGCGGGAGGAGATGAGACGGTGAAAGGTAAGCTGTTGGTGAAAATGAGCTCTTTGACGTGCCTAGAAAAGATGTCTGTCGACCAGGTCTATTTTAGCATCAATTTATTGATAACTTCATGTCCCCATTATTATGGAAATTATGGGCTTTTGTCTTTTGGCTTTTTTTTTTTTTTTTTTCAATTAAAAAAAAAAAATCATACAATAATGGTAATGCATACGTTTGTATATTGCAACTCTTAACCTATTGGGCAACAACAGTATTTTCCTTCTTGGAGAAGCCGCACTTTTCCTCTTCATTTGGGGAGCCGTTTTCCTCACGCACCACTGTGATTGGCACGGCCGTTGAAAGGTTATGAGTCTGGCCAAGACAATAATTAATCATCACACACATCCAATTTATATTTGACTTCAACAGACCCTTTTGTGCATATAGAGCTGTGAGCTTTTTCTACATTAGCAAAAGTAATAGATGCACTTGGATACACTGTTATTGACCTTGCACACATCATTTTGTTCTTTGTGCTGGATTTTGCGATAATGCTATTAACACAGGAGCCCTAACATTTCTGAAATGTTCTATGTGAAATGTTTTATAATTTTAATAGCAAGTGTTAGACTCATCGTTGCAGTTTTTCTGCAGAGAAAACTGTTGGCAGAATACTTGAAAGTATAATGCACATGCATTTTGACTGTGTACCTGGAAAAAAAAAAACTTGGTATACAATATAGAATAGAATATTCAAGGGTTCACGGATAAAACAAACTCATTCAAGTTAATTAATCACAATTATACCCACGCAGGTGGGGTACTTTATTCCAATCAACTGATTAAAGACAGCCAATTAACAACAACATGGTCATATGCGGCATAACCTTCAAACATACATGTAAACTAACTCCTGAGTAGATGACTTACATGATGATAAAGAACAGCTTACTCTGTGTTCATTAACGAAAGCTGTAATTATCTTGTCAAATTAAAATTGAATTAAAACAATTCATAACTTTTTTTTTTTCTTTTTATGATACATTCTTTCAAGGTTTTCATGGAAATATTAATGTAAAGTTAATATTGAGACACGATCAACATGGCAACCTTTCAGGTGCCCCTTAACAAAGCCCTAAATCACTGAAAAGGCAGCGCCTATTACTTCCGCAGTGGGGCACTTACTAGGCCAGCCTGAATTGTTAGATAACATCTAATGGGCCTCGACTGTTGGTGAGTTATTGCTGTGATCAAAATGACTGTAATGTACCCGTTCTACTAATCTGGGACTCAGAGTCCACATTGGTAATGTTAGCCTCGGGTAACATAGCCATCTGTGGAGGAAGAAGCTCAGGAGATGTTAATACCTTTACTATGCTGCTGGTGGTAAATGGAGAATTAACAGTTATCTTAATATGTTCTTATGTTCTCTTCAGAACCTGTTACCCTGTCTTTTTTTTCAGCTGTTTAGTGTTAGCTTTTTAAACCATTACACGGTTATGGTTATATATTGTACATATGATGTTGTTCTTTTTGTTTGAGATTGATTGAGATTTTTCTATGCTTTATTCGTTTGTAACGACTTGCTTCCTGTTGGGTCACCATTGTAAATGAGAACTGGTTCTCAATTGACTAATCTGGTTAAATAAAGGTAAAATAAATAAATATATAAAATAAGTGAAATGAGAACTTGCAGGATTTAAATGTGAGCTGGTGATCTTTAGTGGGCCATCAGTACTGCTGCTGTGTCAAGGAGGGACTCAGAGTGTGAAGGACTTGATTTCTCCTTAAAGGAGGACTACTTTAGTACCTCATTCACCACTGTGAAAATCTAGGCCATCCTGAAAGCAGCTCTCAAAAACGCTCTTTTTAGTGAATATTAGAAACAACCACAATATTTAAACCTGCATCATTTAATGTATCTTAAGTTTTGTTTGATGACCAAAATTAAATCTTAATGATAATGCATGTGCGACCTGCTGGAACTGTCTTCTAACGATCGATTCAGTGTGTATTACGTGTAATTTGTGACCATTGAGCAATTAGCGAGCCAGCTGTCTATTGATCCCTACAGTATATCGGTTCTCCTGCTGGCAAAAGGCCCTGTGTAATACTATATAATCTTCAACCTAATTATGTGTATTTGTTGTGGCGTCTGGGCTCATAACGTTTTCCAGAAACAATAGGGTGCTATTAGATAAGACTCCTTATTAGATTAGAGATCCTCTCTGGTTGTAATAGAATATTAACAGTGCAACAGCAGTAGTTCTACACTCGGCATGCATGTGTGTGTGTCTGTGAACGTTTGCGGGAAATGACCTGCACTTGTTGTCAAAACATGTTTTTATTGTTTTTTTTGATTGTTGTTTTCAACACTCTCCCGCTGTGTTACACGCCACTTCTCACAACTTGGAGACAAAAGGTAACATAATGCTCTGGTTTTAAAAGATATTTGATCTTTAGAAAATAATCTGAATGGTAATCACTTTAATTTTTGACAATAATGTCATTGGTCTGTCTCTTTTTTGTCTTGTTTTACTTGGGAAACTGATTTTGTAGTTATGATAACAGTTATTTTTTTATGTATTTAATATTATCAGTTGCAGCCCAGCAGGAGACATTTCTAGTTGTGTGGTTGATTCATAGGACCAGTCTGCAAAATCACTGAAGAAACATGAAAATTATTTTTGTCTAACGTAAAAAAACAAAGGCTCTGTGATGTGTATAAACGGTATGGCTCTTTTATTCATAACAAAACGCGCCTGCCATCATTTCCTCAGAGTATGGTATAAAAGCCACCGAGATCTTCTCCTTTTACCAACTCTCTGAAAACAAAAAAATCACGTGTGTGTTCATGAACATGAGATGCCCTCTCCCCCTCTTAAGGCAAAGCAGTTTTTTGCTAAGGTAATTGTGCCCTGCTTCATTAGGCCCGTGAGTTGTGCTTTAGAGGCTACAGCTGGGAGATTGCTGACAGCCCCTGGCTGTCCTAGCAAAGAAGGGGGAGTAAATCACAGAGACACAAAAAACAAAATGCTTCCACTTCTCAGCTCAGCATCCCCTGAGGGTAAAACAACAAACAAGAGTGAATGTCGAAGATATCGTTACCAAGCCTGCTCGTGAATTGTGTTATTCAATAAATCATATACGTAGGTGCTTAAAATAGCAATACATCTCCTTCAAGAAATGAATGCTTGTTAAACCCAACTCCTCTCTAAAAACAGTACTATATGTCCTTAACTCAAGATGTTGAGTGATGCCTTTCTGCGTAGCACAGTAGGAAGAGAGCAATTTTTTACTTTTCTTTCTCAGACATTTTCATTCATTCTTTTATTTTTTGAGAGACATCTTAAATCTCAAATAGTCAGTTTCAGTGACATGTAATTCGTAGGCATTACTGTGTCCCTGTCTGACGTTTTGCTTTAACAAAAATCATTTGTTTTTTGATATAGTTTTACTGCAGTCCAGGCAAAAAAAAAAAGGTATGTACTGTATGTATATACAGTACATATAAACAACCTCAACTGGTTGAGAGTTCAGGCACCCGGGGATCATGTCATTAATGTCGTGCCATATAACACACTTTGTGCTGGCAATTTACAGCTCACTTTGTCAAATATGAGACATTACCTCCAACTGATTTCTACCAGTAAAAAGTCCTAGCATAGTGTTTGACTGTAGGTCCCTGTGGGATGGGATTCATAAGTGCTGATGCAAATTCTAATCTTAAAACTTGCACACTATGCATTCCATACTGGTAACAACAAATAGTGATACGAATAAGCCACAGACTGAACCGGCAAGTGACTGGATCCCGTCTGAACTCAATTAGACATCCTTATAAAAGTACGAACATAGTCGCTGAGGAACCACGATAGATTTTGGATAATGAATGACGCCTTTGTCAATGACGTAGATTCCAGCTGCAGAGGATATAAATAGCTCTCCATTCAATATGGAAAGTAGCAGTTAAAACCATTTTTCATCACAAAAACATCCAGACACAGGCTTCCCCACAGCTAAATGTTAGCAGTTGCCACTCTGACAAAGTTGCTCCTGGCTGTACAGAAGTCCTGTTGTTCAAAGTTTTCTGAAGCAATGTACACATTACCTTGCCTTTATGTTTCCTCATGCTTCTACATTCAGCCACACCCCTTGCCCCTGCCCACATACAAATTGTTATAGGAAGCTTGAACCACAGCACAAGGTTAATCAATGTGGTAGCTGGCAATAAATTAGGTTCAAGTGACAGGAGAATGTCCATACCTGTCTCTGTTGCTGGTGATCTGTGATTGGTGACAGCAGGCTCGGCTCCCTGGCTGGTGCTGAATCATCAGGAGCAGCTGATTTAGTTACGGCAGCTCGGACAGGGCCAATCTATCAATTGATCTTGGGAGTAATGCATTACCAGCTTGGGTCAAGTGAGCCTGGGCAGAATATAGCCACAGCCAGAAACCACGGCAGGTGAATACGGGCATTTCAGCAGGCCCGTGAGCAGCAGAGAGAAGGATTTAGGGAGTGTGATAGCAAGTGCTCTAATCTCACTGTTAGCTGAATTTGGCACATCAAACTAAACACGGGTTGTGAGGTAGGATGATCATCAGGGAGAGACTGATGGCCTTCTTGCTCACACAGCTCCTCTGGGAGTTGCCACGTATAAAATGCTCGATCAACAATTGGAGTGCCTGATCACATACTGTAAAATGTTTCAGCTTTGTGTGTTTGCTTGTGCAGTCCACATCAGATCATATCTTCTTGACCTGCAATTGTCTTTATTGCGAAAATAAAGGTACTTGAGTCAGGACAAATACTATAAGAGAGAGATAGTGAGGGCAGCCAAAGCTATACTGAACTTTGAGCATTGGAAGGGAAGGTGTGAGTAGTGATCAATAGTGAGCCCCTGGGCTAAAAGGCCATTATATACTTATATATTAAAGAATAACTGTTTAGATGTCTGAGAGAAGTGAAATCCCCTCTCCCAACAGTTGGGCATGTGTTGTATTTAATACAATTTTTTTTTCCTCAACATAAGTTGACTGCCTGTGTTCACGAATGAATTGCATCAAGATACAATCTGCGGTGCTAGTTGATACAAAAGAAAGTTTTGTAGAAGAGGAAATATTAATGAACCCCTAAAAAGCTTTCTTAATTTTTTTTTGTTTAGGCACAAGTAAAGATAACATCTGCCTGTTACAATTCATGAATGAGGCCCTGTGGTTGTGTAAAACTCCTCTTCCCATCTGAGACCATCTCGTCTCAGATGGGAAGCGTCAGTCTGTTGAGATAAACCACACAGTCAGCAGTTGCCCACACTGTCTCTCCTCATTGTCTAGAAACCTCCTCACAATGAATTTGTACCGAACAAAACCCGACACTGCCAAGGTACTGCCACAAAACACAAAACAAGCCTGCTAGGGTTTTTAATCATTCTTGTGTTTACACTGCAACATGATCTCAGTGCCACTAAAGTTTGAAGAACAAAGCTGAACAAAACAGACCTGATCAATACCTCTTCCGTCCCCTCGCTCCGCCGATGTGCTCCACTGTCCATCACCCTAAGCTGGCTGAAGGGCACAGCTGTAACAGATGCAAGGAGGCTGAATTTACCTTGACAGGGTTTTCTAAGGCTAATTGGCTGTGTGGGGGGCATCAGAAATAACAGCAGTGATAGGTTCTCTCACAGGGGACTAGGTATTACTGTAGGTCACAATTTAAGTCCATGTCTTCTATGTTTGGATCTAAACTATCGCTTGTGTCATTGTCAAGTGATACGTTTCTTTAGAAATGTTTATCTAGAAATGCTGTAATAAGAATACATACAATAGCCCAACAGTAGCTTAGTGGTATAATTGTATCCTTGAGAGAGTGCATCATTGGAATAGCTTTAACGCTGAATTACTAGTATAATAATGTGTCTAGTGTGATTGCAGAGACAGATCATGCTAATCAAGGGTGTTAAAGAAAGTCAGATGTCTATATTATTTTACTTCATTTGGCCAAATAGTAGATGTAAATGGTGGTTGGGTAGACATTAGGGATTTGGGCCGCTTAAACATCTGTTGTCGCTTCTGAAAAACAATATAAACGTAGATCTTGTCTCTGACCTTTGAGTGGTGAGGTGAGGGAAAGCTAACACAAAAAAGGAAAAGAAGGAAAAGGATGTTTATTTGGTTTCAGTCTATCTTTTTCACTCACATTCCTCCTGTTTGTTTCCCCCAGAGTGTACTTAATCTATACTTTTTCTTCTTCTGTTCGTTTTTCTCTTCGTATTATTTTCTAAAAATATACTTTCCGCCATCTGGAGTTTAAAGATCTGCCACACGCCTTAGCTCAAACTTATGACAATAATTAACAGCGTACAAATGTACAATGATGGCCATATCTCACTGCTGGAAATATATTAAGTTCATAAACTCATATTTAAAAAGGTCATTGTTAAAGGAATGGCACAGCAGAGTTTAACCAATAAGCAATATACAGCACACCAGTAGAGATGTGTGCAGCGAGTATCCACTCGAAGGAGGAAATCCACCAAGATCCAGGGTGTTAAATACAAATAACATTGAACAATCAATGATGTGTGTGTTCCTGTCCATTTCTTATCCTCACTAGTAGGCCCTATATGTTCCCTTATTATTCTAAGAGAAGCATATTATTTCCTTGTTACAACAATGTAAATGTTGCCACATGGTATTCATTTGGTACTGGTTTTAATGTCAGAGTTCATCAAAATCTTCATTTAATGATTAGAGAGCACGTTTGCAGTACCTCCTCTCTCTTTTCAGTTATTCCCTTTGTTTATTCCTCTCTATTTTTTCCAATTGTCCTCACATCACGGTCCTTCCAGACTCAGCACTTACACCCCGTTAAGTGTCCCAGGCCAGGCAATAAATCATTGGTTCCCCACAGCGTTCCATGCCCTCCCTCCCATCTGTCAACAACTAATGCGCCACACGACAAGCTGCAATCCACTGTGCACAAACCACTCACTTTGAACAACGTGGCTTGCTCAGCCATTGAAGGCTGGCTCACAGACATAGCCCCTGAAGATTGACCAGAAGGCCCAGGTAAAAACTGTAAGTGTATTTAAGGCCCTCTGGAGACTCGACAGACTACTTTATTCTTACTATTCAGTCTGAGAACAAGTTGGAGAAAAGTGAAGCAACATGACCAAAAGCTCAAACAGGGTTCCTGCTGTAAAACATTCACCAAACAACCCATAAGGTGCAACGATTATCTCTTCTTATGCTGCAATATCGCCGAGCCCCACTCCCATTCAGTTATATTGGATTGCATTATTTTGAATGTTCTTTCAATGCCTTCAGACAAAATAATTGTAGCTCATCAACTATGAAACAAGCAGCGCTGGTATTGTGTTCACCTCTTGAGTGTGTGTGTGTGTGTGTGTCATCCCTGCAAAATGTGGTCCTGTAGACACTTACTGCAGCGGTAGCTACCACTGAAGCGGTTTTCAGTGTTTGGCTGTGGACAGATTGTGTGACTGTGATAGTGTCACAACCGTTCAAGTTACAGTTACAAAACCTTACAGAAGTGTAGTTGAGATCAAACGGAAGGCCGAGTTTGAAGATGAACAGTTAACAAGTTAAGTCAAGGAAAGTTTATTTGTAAAGCACATTTCCTCAAAGTGCTTTACATAAGGCATACACGCGTCATTAAGGTCAAGGATGTGTTTCTTAAGGTTTTTTACAATGCAAACTCATTTGTGTTTCGCAGGTACTGCTTATTTTTACGCCTCTGCGCCGCCAATTTGCACCTCTGCGCCAGCTCTATCAATGGATGTTATTTTGTATGAACAGTTTGAAAAACAAGTCATTATTAGTACATTGCAAAGAAAATGCTGTACAATGGTTCAACCGGACTGACAACTGAAGAGGCAGAAAAAGGCAAAGATCACTCTTTACTTCTTACTTTAATTTATTTCGCAAAAGTTAAATGAGAATAGAAGAAAATCACCAGTTATTGGTAAAATAAACAGTTTAGCATCTAATTGTGTGCAGATTTAAATGGGAACAAGGTCCTGTTTCAGTGTGAAGTGCACAATAATGAACTCACAAATCACAGTTCCAACCTCTTCAATCTAGTAGAGAAATACAAACAGCTACCCACATTATTTAAATAATGGTCTAGGCTCACTGGCTTTTCTGGATTGGGAAATCAGTAGTATAGCATGTAACAATATGGGGACGTTGACTAAATGTAAGTTTTAATAATTTAATTCTTAATAAAACTATTACAAATGTAAAATTAATACATTTGATATTTGAACTATATCTTCTTTGTTTCTGTTAATATACTCATTATGGAAGGAAAGAAGAAAAACATGCCTTGTGTACACTCCTGTGCAAGGATGAGCTGATTGTGATGTTTAAAAATCATGTTCACATGCTTGTGAACGCAATAACTCAGGAATGGCCTCGGTGAATTTCTTCACATTTGGCACAAACATGCACTTGGACTCAAGATGAACTGACTAGAGTTTAGAGGGCAAAAGTCAATATGACCTCACAAAACACATTTTTGGCCGTAACTCAATACTTGATTTGCAAATTCTGACATGTTCACAGAAATGTCTGTTTGGATAAAATGATGTAGTGATGATATTTTGGATAGGCGTGGACGTACAGAACTACTTGACTGGTTGGCCGAGGCATACAACCGAGAGGCGTTTTTGGCCCATGCATTCAAATGTTGCAAACCTCAGACTACAATAGATCCCCAGGCACTCTTTTTGGTTGAGATTTAGAGACGGTGCTGGCCATTTGAGTAAAGTTAGATTTATTTCTGTGATACTGCCATAACCCTTTTAAGATTATGCTTCTGATATAGTGCAATTATCCTGTTGAAAATATGTATGCGAGAAATGCTGTTGCCCATCCAGTATCTGCAATACTGCTTAAATACAAGGTCTACTGTGCTTGGTAGGTATTATAGAGTGTAATGTTTGCCAAAGAGTAGTTAGTCTGCTGTTCAATCTGCTCTTTTTAAAAAGGCAGCATTAAGGGGAAAGACAAACAGAGAGCTAGACAGAACGATGAGAATGGAGGGAAAGAGAAACAAAGTCCAGAGCCGTGTTTGTGGTTTAAATGTGTTGGAAGCAAATCCACAAAGGACACTCTTCATTTTTTTCTTTTTTACTTTTTATAATTTCAGTCTTGTATATATTAAGTGGTTGTGGAATATTTGCCTCAATCTAAACGGGACATCTGGTTAGCCCTAAATGCTTATCATTCAGTTTAGATCATGTTGTATCCATAGCTTCAGCTTCCTGTTTTAGCTGACATTAGCAGGAACTGACATGGTCTTAATGGTACAGGTGAGTATTTTTGAGAGGCGTCTATCCTTTAACTCCCTTAACCTCTGTATTGGATACAGTTTTGCTTCGACAGATCTGTGCAATTGAATCCTGCATGATTTTTGCAGTGTTTGTCAAAAGCCTGCCAAATTTAAAATCCCAAAACTATGATTATCAAGATCTGTAAGAAAACCCCCACTGATCCAAAGGTCATTTAGACTTAATCATTGATGTAAACTGGACCTAATGATTGTTTGGATCCTCACACTGCATTACAAAGTTTAATTTCCCCCTAAAGTCTATGAAATGCTCTTTGTAACACCTCCTCGTGCATCTGAAAACAACACGATATGGCTCTTGTCTAGCCTGTGTGCTTACCAATCGTGCAAGCAGTAGCTATAATTTCACCCAGAGAATACTGCCTGCCATGCTCTCCATTCCAATTACGCTTCGCTGTGGCTCGAAAAGAAACGGAATCCTCTTTAGGCGGAAGCAAGCAACTATCACATGGCTATCAAAATGCCCTCATGTCACCATCTCCGATTGAGGTGATCAGATAAATGAGACTTTAATTGGGTTTTTTAGGCTAATTCATATTAGGAGATGAGATAGAATTATCCAGAAATGTATTAATGCAATAAAAAGCTCTCAGATCTGGCAGCTATATTGCATTAGAAAGCTGCCTGCCCTTCTCGTGTTTTCCCCCTCCCTCCGCTCTCCTCCAAGGGCTTGCTGTGTTGAGCACCGCTAACATGATTGACATTGATAGCTGGATCAAACTATAGAATCAACCCTAATATTATTAAGCGAGCAGACACGAAAGCAAAGACCTGTGCTCTAACTGTATTAACCGCTACATATGTTAGGGTTATGGATGCAGGAGGCGCAATGCTTTGGGAAATCAAGCGTGCAAGCCACAATTTCCCTGTGGATGTGTGACCTTTGTGCCTTTGATGTGCAATGCTGAGTGCATGTGCAAATCCATGTATACGTGCACATGCTGGCTTGTGCATACCGATTCCTCTTGATGTTTTTACAATAATTAGGCATTATCGTCAGTTCTGTTGTCATTGCCGAACAGACAATCATTTAACATAAATAAGCCCTCTATTGGTCCACAACCGTTTTTGAGGAAAAAGAGTTAGTCATGGAGGGTGTCATGTAGCAGCGAGCAGTAGTGCATTCTATCCTAATAACACGCTTTTCAAATACGATGCTATCCCCACTATTACTGCCAAATGCTTTGGTATCAGTGAGAAGAATTGATGAAATAGCTTCTAGTCATCCTCCACTTGCCAGGCTACACATCCCCGTGTTTGGGCCAGCGGACCTGACCACCTTTGTGTTTAAACCCTCAATGCCAACCTGTCAGCCATGTCATCCAAGTTCCAAAGAACATCTTTTTGATACTGTTGGTTTTGTCTTCATCAAGGTGGAAGTACTTAGAGTTTGCATTCAATTAAAATACAGAATGTGGAATTTATCAAATTTTAACTTTAAAAAAGTTTAAGAGTCATTTTGGAGCAGTGACTTTATTGTTCCACTACTCACTAACTGCATAGTCTCTGCACGTTAGCCACAATAATCTAGTTTCCAAAGGATGTCGTCTGAACAATGAGTCATCTATCTCACTGTTAAACAATGTTTAAAAAAGAAAATGAATTCAAACTGTTTGTGATTGAGCTGAACTTATTGCTCTCTGTAACTAACAGCTTTATTTCCCAGTGAAGGTGTCCCAAAGTTCAAACTCATTGCTTCTGCATTTCGGTATGCTCATCAAATACTTTTCTCTTTGCCGCTCTGTCAGGGACACCATACAACACTCACTCCACTTTGCACACATTACTGATTTTGAAAAAAAAATTTGCCTGGTTTGATGAAGCCACTGTAAAGTGTATTTAAATTTTTCTTCACACTATCAGTTGGTGGAAATTACAAAATTGTATCATTAAAAGCAAATGTGTATTTTGCCTCCATCTCAAACAGGCTGTCAGCATGGTGCTCTACTGTGCCCTGTGTAGATATACAATTAGATTTCTAAAATGTATGACTTTTGGGATGGGAAATTACAAAGTCAAATATAAAATGGCAGTGTTGCATCCTCACTTGTCAGTGTTTTCTTCCCTGTTTCTTTAATCCCCCACTTCTGCAAGGTAAATAAAAGTTGCAAAGGATTGTGACGTTTAATCAACTAATTGCATTTGTGGACTTTCCAGGCAGAATTTCTGACCCGGGTCTTGGAAAGCTAATTTGCAGAGAAGCACAGAAATCGGCATGCGGTCTGGCACATATTAGGTTTTTTGCATCCATTATTCCTCTCGTTCCTATCTTACTTAGACGTATCTCTCTTTCTGTCTGTTCAGTCACATCCCTTTACCCTCACTCGCTTCTCTCCTCTCTGTGATTGAGCCGCTTCGTGAAATGTACTGGTGCCCCAAACACAAAGCAATTCCCCTTCTCATGGGAAACATCCGACTGCCCTTTGTGGCGTCACGTCAGACGTTTGTATTGAGTTTCTGTTCTACTGTCTGCTTTTGATGATGTATAGAAGCCTTGAGACCCCTCTGAATTCCGTAGTAATTGTACGACTATCTCTCTGCTATCTTTTAAGCGTTCTATTGGTCCGGTCCAAAACAAGGGAGACCCTGAAACAATGGAAATGGTTAGAAAGGATTCTAAAAGCTATAAAAGTGAAAGTGTCTCTCTCTGTGTTCGCTGTCACAAGGAGCAGCATGAGCAAGTGTTGTAAGCAAGTAAGTAGGGATGTGGCACTACACTTATTTTTCACATTATCTCTAAATGATTAGGTCTATTTAGTTAGAGGGTGTGAATAAATGTTCTCTTAATTTTGTCTTTATTTTTTATTTTCGATTACTAATCAATTTAAAATGTATCCAGTGACTTCATTACGTTCATTGATGAAACCGACAAACAGATGGAGCTTGTGTCATATTGATTCTTTGCCTCCCTCTCATTTTTATTATATTGTTACTCTGCAGCAGAGTCCAATTTCATTACACCCTCTGGATCCATATAACAGCACAAACTCATCTTCGTGTCACTAATAAAGTGATTACTTGGATGGAGAAAAGGTCTGAAATGCTTTTTTCATGGCTTCTGTGTGATAATTCCCTGAAGTACGGGGGAAATATGGGTGACTATCGTGTCAGGGAAGAATGGGTGGGGGCTGTGCTGTTTGAGGAGGCTTTATAGCTCCCTGACCTTTTAAAGATATAGATTGTTGTTCTGTTAAAGCATATACACCCAGTTATTGCCTGTTCTTTTATAATGCATTATTGATTTTGATAGGTTTATTTCTCTATTCAAAGGCCAAAAAAGCACTTGCATTTGTATCTAAGAGTGGGCATGAAAAATGAGTTATTTTCTGTTGTATCAGGCCTCTCGTTGCTATGCAATTGGAAGTTTAGAACGGAACTTGACATGAATCAACACTGATAGGTCACAAATTGACTGTAATTGTTGCTGCCACTGAATTAGGGTGCTTTGGAATTTGTTCTTTAGTAGATTTTGAACAACTTGATTTTCTTCATGGATAATTAACTTGGTCATTATTGATGTATTTCTTTGTTTATAGGAATACAGGGTTATCATTTAACAAAATGAAAACATTTAAATTGTTTCAAACAGATCTTAGAGACACAACTTGCACTAGTGTGCACTAGTTTACCAGCTCATGGTCTCCTTGTGTGGTTGTTGCTGCAAATTGTCTCTCCAGAGGGCCCTCCCACACGCTCACACTTACAGTCTCATACGCTTACACAAAAATGATTAATTCCTGTGCTTTATGTTGCTTCTAAGAAGTTATTTATAAATGAAAAACATTTTCGACAGTACTGTTGCCTGCTTAGCTTCTTACCAATCAAAAGCTCCCACATTCATTTGAAAACCTCCAGAGACCCATTATGTTGTTTAAGTGTACACAACTGAACTGAACATATTGATAAATATGGCACGTAACAGAAATTAAATCTTTTCATTTCAAAGAAAACATGAGTTGACCATAAACAAAACATGTTTGCAATATTATATACTTTTTATGATTTTGACTTTCATTTAAATAGCCTATATACAGATTAATAAATAGCTTTCTCTAGCTCTATGTGGCGTAGTAGGTAAAGTGAATCTCAATAAAACTACTGAACTTCCAGTTTGTTGTTGAAGTTTTCCAATGGAACTGAGGCTACTTTATGATCAACAAGACAGTTCCCAGATTGAGCTAATCCCATATTCAACTTTAGTTCTGCCTCCATTTGGGCCTTCTTCAAAAATCCACATTCTAATTCTCCTAAATTGAAGGTAGTGTTGAGATGTTGAGGCTACCATCAGGCCCTTTTAAGCTACAGTTCAATATCGATGACACCCAGTAAAATTTGAAATCCAATGCACGCAGAATCGTACATTTTGAAGTGCATGAGGCATACTTTTGTATGGCAACATAAATATTAGCACAAGCTTCACTGCAACATACTAGTATATTACTGACCTTGCATATTCTATGCTGTTTAAGGAGCTGCATGAAAGTGAGCTTGGTGTTAGATGAGGTTTTTTGGGTCTTTGGCGCTAAAAATAGACATCCTGGTAACAAAGGCCTCATTTTTCAAAGCATGCAAGTTCTATATCGCTGTTTAAGACTTGCCTGTATACACAAGTAAGTATGTTGGTATAAATCAAACATATATAATGCATGCACACCTGTATGCAGTGAACAATGATAAATTCTACCTGTTCTACAACCATCTGCTTGTGCAGAAAAAGGCTAATTTGCATAAGGAAACACCCTCAATTGGCCTTACATAGACAATGTCCTTTAAAAAGACAGAGTATCCTGAATGTAAGGCGACTTGTGAAACAATTGAGCTTCTGAGAAAGAATAGGAGCAGCTTTAAAAAAATAATTAGGTTGAAGCACTGCTAACCCTAACCCACCCAAATGGATATACTGCATAAAAACACCAAAAAATAGATATAAACAGGAGAGCAGGTGAAAAACACAGTCAACACAGTGGTTCTAAATACATGCATATGTGGACACACAAGACCAAATGTATCTATTATACATTTTTTAAAGAAGTGCTACCTCACAAAACTATGTGCACCCAGCTTTAATGAGGCCGCAGGTACAGACTAAATGCCTGGTCTGAATGGGCACGATTACAGGATAATGATTCATATTCATATTGACCATACTGTATGTTGCCCAACCAGTAGACACAATTTAACATTTGGAACTTAATAATAATAATACATTTTATTTATATAGCGCTTTTCATAAAACTCAAAGACACTTTACATTAAAATCATCACATATAAAAGCAATACACTAAAAACATAAAATACACAATAGTGGTCACACATTAAAAGCAGTTTTGAACAGGTGGGTTTTGATCTGTGATTTGATACCTTTTCAAAACTTCCACAGTATATTTTGCTGAAATGAATTTCCACAATACATATTTCATGTACCAGATGTGTCTTATTACGAGGCACTGGCTGTACACAGACGGTCGTCTAGTTTAATGGGAGGCTTAATAAATTGTTCAAAAAGGGTAGTGTGCTCTCTTGCTCCATCTGTCATAGATTTGTAGGAATACTGCAGCGACTAAGTCCGTCCTGGACATTACTCAGGCCAAGTCTTGGACTGCAACTCGTATGAATTGAATATAGGTGCATATCTACATATATATATTATTTATAATATATTTCACGTTTGTGAACCATGTTGCAGGCCCTTGCCCTCCAGCCAGGATACAATTTGGCACTGTCTTCTGGCATTACAAATCTGCACTTATTGGCCTGATTGGGTCTGATAGGCACACTTTGTAAAGCCATAACTGCTTCACCTGGGGTCTAGTTTTAATTAAATTTCATGTCTGTGTGCAAATTGTGGGGGGTGTGTGTGTGTGTGTGTGTGTGTGTTTTTCGAAACAGTGTGAGGTCCAATGTAGATTTTCTTTCTTTCCCTGCAGTTTTCCTTATCTCAAGTTAAGCACAGTAACAAGTCCTCCTTTTTCTTATTTCCTCCACCTGATGCTGTTTTTCGAAGTGCCTTTCTATCCTCAGAGAATACTGAAATGGTGATGACCTAATTTGCATGAGAGGATTTGTAAAATCGGGCCAGAATTGGAGTCTTCTGCTGTTAATCTGTGTGTGGTAATGCTGCCCTTAGTGGATTTTTACCTGTGGCTCCGCCTTTTTTTCCCTCTATGTTCCCCTCGTTTGAACCATGAACCTACACAAACACACACACAAGCATGACATAGAGAGAAAACAATAAGCTAAAGTTAATTTGCACAGGACAATACAGGACCTTGTATTTCAGAGAGGGTTCATGTAACAATTATTGAAACAACTTTGATCAGTTTCTTTCATAGTTTGGTGAAATTTGGTGATCTGCGTTATTTAACTGTCCCTATCCCAATAAAAAACTGAATGTTGAATGTGCTTAATCACAAATTCAGAGCCTATCTATGATTGAGGGATTGCCTCCCCTTGGCTCTCAACACGCTGGTGGTGCTAACCGCACAAACAGTGCAAACAAAGGTAGCAGTGCTGGCAGAGCTAACAGTGGGGAATTGGAGGGTGGGCTTCTACGACGACACGGTGGTTCAGGACAGCGTTATGAGCACAGTGCAGCGTGTTGGGGATTATCGAGCCAGAGGGGTACACACTGGGAATCACATGCACTAACATGCCCGGCTACGTGAACAAAGCACAGAGAAACTCAGATTACAACACACACAGACGGAGAGTGACTTCATTCTCTGCTCAGGTAGACATTACGTCACCATATCTTTAAATAGCAAATTGTCCTTTGCTGCTATATTCATTTAAATTTTACTTTCAAATGTAGCACCTTTAAGTTGTTGACATAAGGTTTTTTTTTTTTACTTATAGTAACAAAAAAATACCTGTGTTTATGCAGTATTTGGAGCTACAGAATACTGTGATTATTGAATTTCAGGCACTCTGTTATTCTTTAGGCTAAACATTCACGTAACCCCCCCCCCCCCACACACACACACACACACACACACACACGCACACACACAGAGACAAAGCACATGCGTATGCATATACCATTAAGCTATATTCTTTTCAATATTCACTTTGCCCACCTACATCTTTTCTTTTCATCGCTCCCACTTTTCTGAACAACCTCTATCCACTTCACTTTGTGCTCATCCATGGAGGCATAACTTAACCAAGTGTAATCATGTATGATCAACATAAATGGAGCATGTGAAGATTCCCAACACTAAGTATGTGAAAATCCGCCCGAGGATGTGTGTTGTCAGTGAAACTGGAGCTGTCAGATATTTTAACCTTACAAGTGTCTTGGCTGGCAGCACAGTGAAACTCCAGAAACAGTCTGAGGCACAGCTCACAACGCCAGTGAGCTTGGCCGTAAGTAGGACAAGAGAACTCTCCAGGCTGCTGTTGAAATTGAAACAGTCCCTCCAGGAATTTTCAAATTTGCAACCCAAGAATTTTTTTTCAATCCACACTTAATCACACGTATTGCATTGATTTGCAAGTTTCCATAAATCAAAACAGTTTCTGCTTAAGTTTGTTGCTGTTTACACAAACGGTTGCAATTTTAACACAGAGTATGTTTAAAGATCCGTCATTGGATGTGAGATCATATCCAATTGATCATCCTTTTTCACTCCCTTGAGCCCCTTATATTTGCCAAATATCGTGTCAGATAGTAAACATTTGTTGTGTTACAGTTAACCTCAACATTGTCTTTTGCTTTGCTTACATCTTACTAACAAGTCACTTTTAAATTCTGAATGTTACTGGATAAGGATAACACTTTTTACTTTTTTTATTTTTTCATTGTTGGTGAACAGGTACATGCTCTAGTTTCAAGCAAATTACAGTTTTCTGCTTCACATGAAATATAAACGATAAAACCATACACGTCTGCCTTGTGTGGTGTGTCTTGACTGCTTGCCCTTTGACACCTAGCTGCATGAGATCAGATTGGTTGTCAATTCAAAATATATAATTAATTTCATCCCCATTTAACAAAATTCCTACAAACTGTACTTTTAAAAATCTGACAGTGAAGCGTGCCATTTGTTTAGAATCAATATCATTCCTGCCCTATGCATGTCTGAGAGGTGGAAGTGGCATCACTTATATTTTGAGGATGGCTTTTTTGGTCAATCTAACTGCCTCACAATGATGTATTCCTCTCGCAGAGTGAGCTGATCTGTTCACTGTTCTTGCACTTGTTCTGCAATGGTTGCTCTCATATCCTCACAGTGCAAAGTTCCGCTAAAGGCAGCACTCACACTTTTGCATTTTAGAGTTTTTATTTTAGTGTGCATGTAAACATAGCCACTCACTCATGGCAAACATACCGTATGCACACAGTCAGGTTGAATGTGTCCACATGTCACCAGCCAAAACCGTATAGAAACTGGACAATCACCTCTACTCCATTTTGATATGTACACTTTACTTTGCTTTCAACTGCTGCTTCACATTCTCCATTCAACCAGCATGTTCGAGAAGTTCATAAAAACCAATGAAAGAACCTCTCAATTGAAATGATTTATTTACAGTGCAACAGTAATGCTGCGGTGACACATCCAACATTGGTAAACAGACAAAAAGAGACCACAACATATCAGAGTATGATAAGATAATTTGCCAAAGTATCTTCTCCAGGAAATTATACCAATAAAGAACAAGGCTAGTTGTCCTTTCTTCACACTGATGCTTCTAATCTTTTCATGCCCTATTTTGCACCTCCAGGAAATTGGAGATTTCTTTGTGTATAATCATAATCTTAATCACTTTGTATACGTGTCCGTCGTGTAATGGAGATGGATCAGTGCAAGATGTAGAGCAGTCGTTGTTTCTCCCAGGAGAGTTCGAGGGCCTCTAGTTTACCACGGCATAAGCATAGAAACATGTCACGAGGTGAATCTCATTCAACAGACTTCAGCACACACCACAGCTTTTCTTTGATTTGATACAAATAATATCAATGCGTGCTAAGCTTGTATAGCCTTCTTACAGTAGAGGCAGGAGGATATATCCCGTGAACACAAGAAGGCTGACTTCAATCTAACAAAAAAAACAACAGATGTTTGATTTGCCTGCACTCTAAAAAAAATTGTCATCCAAATGGCATATGATGGGCAACAGAAGATTGTTTACCCCACAAGGCCTGACTGAAAAGTCCTGAGTGTCGTTTTAAGAGCTTTACATTCGAACGTCTAAATCCTAACTCAGCATTTCATGCACTTTTATGTTGTTTAGCATTACAGCTTTTATGATAATTACTGTAAAAGAATCGTCATTATGCAGCAATGCTTTGTTAGGCTCTTTATATTCAGCACGTCTCAGTGAGATCTTTTTGCAAGAGAGACCTGACAACAAATGACTTAAAATATATACAAGATCACAACTAGGACAGTGCAGTCACACAAAAGCATTAATCTCTCTCACACACACACACACACACACACACACACACACACACACACACAATAATTAGACAGTAAATACAAAAACATGAAAAACAACAACAATGAACTCGTACAGATGAAATGTGTCTCTTACTTTAAATTGCATTGTCATTTATTCCATATCGAAGGTACACTATTGGGGTGGCATGGTATAAGGAACTACCTAGGCTGTGATGCGGTGTCATTTTTATAGCTTTGAATTAATCTAAGGATCTTAAATTCTTGGCAGCTTGAAGAGTAAAGCTTTGTAAAGGAAAACATGGGTGTGTAGGTACCTTCTATCTAGACAATAATGAATGCAACATCCAACTTAAGTGGTGAATGGAATAGCAGTTGATGACATCCAGATGTTTAGTCCACAGGGTAGTGGCAGCAGTATGAAAACACAGTATACGTATATTCATAAGAAAGCATTAGATGATGAATAGGATTTTAGAAATGGTTGTTTTCTGCCTATAAAAAGCAAACCTGCTTATTTACAGCATGAATCCATTTTGACTTTTCCAGTATCCACTTTGGCTTTTAAACATGTGCTGTAGCCTAGTTGAGGGTCATTTCCAAGCCACTACATGCATAATTGTTGCAAATGAAGTAACATCTTCAAATCCTCTGAAAAACTGGAAAAAACACAAGCCTTGTTCACAAGCCTTATTCAACAAATTAATGTGAGGGCAAATTATCTGTGCATTTTATTCAGAACTCCACAACAGAAGACTCACACTTACATTACTATAATTACAAAAGTCCACAAAAGAAAGAGCTCTCTTGGTTTACATTGCCTGTAAATCCAGTTTGCTCACTTAATGCTGTTA